CAGTCGAATGCCTTTGCATAGTCAATAAAACACAGGTAAACATCTTTCTGGTATTCTCTGCTTTCAGCCAGGATCCATCTGACATCAGCAATGATACTGCTCGTTCCACTTCCTCTTCTGAATCTGACTTGAATTTCTGGCTGTTCCCTGTTGATGTACTGCTGCAACTGCTTTTGAATGATCTTTAGCAAAAATGTGTGATATTAATGATATTGTTCAATAATTTCCGCATTCAGTTAAATCACCTTTCTTTGGAATAGGCATAAATATGGATTTCTTTCCAATTGGTTGGCCAGGTAACTGTCTTCCAAATTTCTTGGCATAGACGAGTGAGCACTTCCAGCACTGCACCTGTTTGCTGAAACACCTCAGTTGGTGTTCCATCAATTCCTGGAGCCCTGTTTTTCACCAATGCCTTGAGTGCAGCTTGGACTTCTTTCAGTACCATCGGTTCCTGATCATATGCTACCTCCTGAAACGGGTGAATGTCGACCAATTCTTTTTGGTATAGTGACTCTGTATATTCCTTCCATCTTCTTTCAATGCTTACTGCATTGTGCAGTATTTTTCCCATGGAATCCTTCAAAATTGCAACTCAAGGCTTGAATTTTTTTGTCAGTTCTTTCAGCCTGAGAGATGTCAAGCATGTTCTTCCCTTTTGGATTTCTAACTCCAGGTCTTTGCACATTTCACTATAATACTCCACCTTGTCTTCTCGAGCTGCCCTTTGATATCTTTGGTTCAGCTCTTTTACATGCGCATTTTTCCTTTCGTTTTAGCTACTCTATGTTCAAGAGCAAGTTTCAGAGTCTCTTCTGACATCCATTTTGATCTTTTCTTTCTTTCCTGTCCTTTTAATGACATTTTGCTTTCTTCACGTATGATGTCGTTGATGTTATTCCACAACTCGTCCGGTCTTCAGTCATTAGTGTTGAACGCATCAAATCTATTCTTGAGATGGTCTCTAAATTCAGGTGGGATATACTCAAGGTCGTACTTTGGCTCTCATGGACTTGTTCTAATTTTCTTCAATTTCAACTTGAACTTACATATGAGCAATCGATGGTCTGTTCCGCAGTCGACCCCTCGCCTTGTTCTATCTGATGATATTGAGCTTTTTCATCATTTCTTTCTACAGATGTAGTTGATTTCTGTGTATTCCGTCTGGCGAGGTCCACGTGTATAGCCGCTGTTCATGTTGTTGAAAAAACGTATATACGATGAAGAAGTTATAGGTCTTGCAAAATTCTATCATGCGATCTCAAGCATCGTTGCTATCACCAAGGCCATATTTTCCAACTACCGATCCTTCTTTGTTTCCAACTTTCACATTCCAATCACCAGTAGTTATCAATGCATCCTGACTGCATGTTCGATCAATTTCAGACTGCAAAACTTGGCAAAAATCTTCAATTTCTTCATCTTTGGCCTAGTGGTTGGCACACAGATTTGAATAATAGTCATATTAACTGGTCTTCCTTGTAGGCATATGGATATTATCCTGTTACTGACAGCGTTGTACTTCAGGATAGATCTTGAAATGTTCTTTTTGACGATGAATGCAACGCCATTCCTCTTCAAGTTGTCATTCCCGGCATAGCAGACCATATAATTTTCCGATTCAAAATAGTCAATAGCAGTCCATTTCAGCTCACTAATGCCTAGAATATCAATGTTTACACATTCCATTTCATTTTTGACAATTTCTGATTTTCCTGGATTCATACTTCGTAGATTCCACGTTCCAGTTATTAATGGATATTTGCAGCTGTTTCTTCCCATTTTGAATCATGCCACATCAGCAAGTGAAGGTCCCAAAAGCTAGACTCCACGTACGTCATTAAAGTCCACTCTACTTTGAGGAGGCAGCTCTTCCCCAGTCATATTTTGAATTCCTTCCAACCTGAGGGGCTCGTCTATATCAGACAGTGTTCTGCTGCTATTCATAAGGTTTTCACTGGCTAATTCTTTTTAGAAGTAGACTGCTAGGTCCTTCTTCCTAGTCTGTCTTAGTCTGGAAGCTCAGCTGAAACCTGTCTGCCATGGGTGACCCTGCTGGTATTTGAATACTGGTGGCATAGCTTCTTGCATCACAGCAAGAGTCAAGTCCCCACAGTATGACAAACTGACAGACAAGTGGGGGGATACACCTGTTAGATTGGCAGAAATAAAGAATACTGATAATGCCAAGTGCTGAAGAGGATCTGAAGAAACTGAAGTCCTATACATTGTGAGGAGGAATGCAAAATGATGCAGTTGCTCTGGAAAACTGTTTGGCAGTTTCTTAAAAATTTAAAATACACATACCATATGACTCAGCAATCCAACTTTTGGATATTTTCCCAAGTGAACCGAAAATATGTTCATACAAAAACCTGTACATGAATATCCATAGCAGCTTTATTCATAAAAACCCAAAACTGGAAACAACCCAAATTTCCTTCAACAGGTGAATGGATAAACAAACTGTAGTATACCCATGAAATAAAATATTACTCAGCAATAAAAAGGAAAAATACATTGTAACACAAAATAACTTGGAACAATCTCATAGATACTGTGCTAAATGAAAAAAGCCAGTCTCAAAAGGTTACATGCTGTATGATTTCACTTTTATGACATTCTTGAAAAGTCAAACTACAATAATGGAGAACAGATCAGTTGTCAGGAATGGGAGAAGTGTGTGATTTTAAAGTGATAGCAATGGAATTCTGGGGAGATGATGGAACTGTTGTGTATCCTGACTGTGGTGGTGGTTACACAGATGTATATATTCAGGGAACTGTTCACCCAAAAGACTGTTAACTTTAATTTTTGATAATTTAAAAAAAGAATATTTCCTTTCAGTTTCTGTTTGTTTTCGAACCACTTACCTATATGGGTTTTTTTAGAAAAAAATTTACTATGTAATATTTTGGCAGGGTAGACAGATGAAACTCTCTGTCTATCCTAAACCCTCTCCTAAAGGAAACTGCCTTGCCCACAGCATTTCTGAAAGGTAATAGAAATGTTTTTACCATGAGATCCTGTGCCTCTGGCCATGGTTGATTAGAATGAGGCAGAAACTTGACTAGAGAACAGCCAATCCATAGGCTAGGTAATGCCCTCTGACCCATTTCTTGGCATGAAAAAGATGAGCAGGGACAGCCAAATTTTCTATCTCTGAAATCTGACTAAGGCCACTTAAGCAGGGATTTGACAGTGAGAGAATGCTTTGGGATCATAACAAGCCAAATCTATCTGAATGTTGACATTATGGGTAGCAGAAACTATACATAAATAGAGGAAGTCATTTGAGAACAAAACAGAATAAAGTATGGCTATTAATAGCTGAGGAGCCCTGGTGGCGCAGTGGTTAAAGCACTTGGCTGCTAACCGAAAGGTTGGCAGTTCGAACCTAGAAGCTGCTCCGTGGGAGAAAGATGTGGCAGTCTGCTTCCGTAAAGATTACAGCTTTGGAAACCCTATGGGGCAGTTCTACTCTGTCCTACAGGGTCGTTATGAGTCAGAATCAACTCTATGGCAATGGGTTTACTAATAGTCCATGTGCTTCTGCTATTAAATGCCCAAAGCTGCCTTCAATCTAAATCTACCTTTCAGTCCTATTTTTTGAGGATCATCCAAATTACAGTTCATGTTCTTCAGTTCTTTATTAGTTTTCTACTGCCGCTGTAACAACTAACCGCAAACTTAGTGGCTTAAAACACCACAAATTTATTATCTTACAGTTCTGTAGGTTAGAAGTCCAACACAGGTCTCACTGGGATAAAATAAAGGTGTTGCAGAGCTGCATTCCCTCTGGAGGCTCTAGGGGAGAATCCATTCCCTTGCCTTTTCCAGCTTCTAGAGGTTGCCTGCATTCTTTGGTTCATGGACCTCTTCCTCCATCTTCAGAGCCAGCAAGTTTGCATCTCCCTGACCCTGCTTCCCTTGTCACATCTTTTCCTTTACCCTTTCTTCTGTCTACTTATTCTACTTTTAAGGACCCTGTGATTAAATTGGGCCTACCCAGATATTCAGGATAATCTTCCTATTTTAAAGTCAGCTGATTAGCAACCTTAATTCCATCTGCAACCATAATCCCCCTTTTCTACGTAACATAACACAGTCACAGGTTCCAGGACGAGGATGTAAACATCTTTAGGGGGGCTATTATTCAGTCTACCACAAGTTCTGTATAGATTTGAGGGTCATTATTCAGCCTACCACAAGTTCTTGGAGATTTCACATACATCCTTACAATCCACCCTCAACCCCCACTTTGACAGGGCACATGTAACCAAAGAAGTCTGATCTGTTTAACAACTTCTTTATTGGTTAAGTGGAGACTAACCATCTTTTCTTCAAAGTCAAAGCAGTGCCTAATTTCTAATATTCTCATTACTAATAAAGATCTCTTACTTCAGATAAAACATGAATACATTTTTAAGATTATCTTTGTTATCAACAAACTCTAAATGCTAGACCAGCAGTTACTACTGACTGATAAAATTTCAAAAGCTATGTTGGGGATTGTTATTAGGCTTTCCACTGTTTGTTTTCCAAATGAAAACATAAAACATACTCATCTGCTCCCCAAAATCTATCATCTGTCATAACCATTATTTCATGAAAGAATATTTAACACCAAAAAAGTAGAAAAGAACCTCAGAATAATGTGCACTTCTTTAAATCATTTTAGCTTAATTAAAAAAATTACATTATCATTTTTTGTCATTCTGCTTATCTTTGACCAGGTTTTTTTTTTTTTTTAAATCACTTTTATGATTGATTTACCTGTACCAACTATGCTATTATCCACATGTGTCAAGGACTGGGGGTGGCTTCGAAGTTTGCTTTTGAAAGATCTCGGTCGACGTGGTGATGCAGGTGGCAGAGGAATCTCCGATGATTGAGTTTTACTATCTTTAATTGACCGAAGGCGTTCATAGAGCTCCTGCAGCTCCTTATTCTGCTGGGTTTGAAGATTTACCACCTCCTGAATGTGTCTGAATGAAAATAATGCAGAGAACATTTTACTGGCACTGGCGCAATACAGATGAGCCAAGAATCTCTACACCAGTACAAGTAGTTTAAAAAGGAATTTAGATTAAGAATGTGGGAATACAGGAGAATATTTTCACAATTTTAAGATGGGAAATGCTTTCCTAACCATAACATTAAACTAATCAGGTATAAAGAAAAAGGTGAACAAATTTGACAAGAACAAATTTCTAAAACTTTAATACAGTGAAAGACAATAAAACTTAAAGTCAAATTGTATTAATAATATTAACCCTTTTATTATATATTGCAAATATAAACAGAAAGAAAATATTTGTAATATATAATAAACAAGTAACCTTCAGAATATATAATTCCTAAAAATCAGTAACAAAAAATTAAAAACCTTATAGAAAAAAAAAGGGCAAAGAATATGACAAGGTAATTCCAAAGATGGGGAAATACAAATAGCCAATAAATATGAGATTATGCACAACCTCACTATAAAGCGGGGGAACATAATTTTTAAAAAAAAAAAAAAAACCTTTTTTAATTCATCTGATTGGAGAAAAAAAGTATTGATAATAACCAGTCCAATGTTGTTAATGGATGGGAAAAGAGGCACTTTCATATACTTTCTTTCGTGTATAAAATGGTACAGTTACATTGGAAGACAATTTTAGCAATATCTATCAATTTAAAATGTACACACATTTTAACCGAGCAATTTCACTTTCAGGCATCTATCCTAAAAAATACATAAGTATGTAAAAATACAAGGATGTACACTTCAGCATTGTTTACATAAGTAAAAGATGGGAAACAACTGAAATGTCCATTTAAGGAGGGATTAAATAAACTTGGGTAAACTCATATAGCCATTTAAAAATTAAGGTAGATTTATTTGTATAGGAATAAACACATATAATGGGCAACAATGTTAAGTCAAAAATTGTAGAATAACATTTAGATTATGGTCCTACTTTTTGAAAATATAAACTGTATTTGTAAATGCAAAGAAAAATTATTGGCAAATAACAGTTCACAGTAGTTACCACTGAGAAGTGAGATTGGGGCATGAAAAATGGGACGAGGATTTTTGGGTTGTTTTATTCTCTATTGTTTGAATCTTTTCCTATGTTTCACTTTTATAACAATAATTTTAGAAAAATAGATATGTAAAAAAATTAAAAAAGACTGTAGTTAATTCAAAATCAGGTAGGTCTAAAAACTCAGCTCACTATTGTGAGCCTATAGGACTATAGTCTTTAGAAACATCATCCTGGAGTTTTACAAAATTATGAAGAAATCATAACGCCAAAAGAATAGTGAAAACAAAATAGAAAAAATTTATCTTAAGATACCATAGGTCCTGGGTTCTGTGAGTATGAGGTTATGGGAATCCATGTCTCATATTCAAAACAAAATACTCATAGTCATTATAATCATCTGCAAAAGCTCCTAGTCTTTTGAGAACATTTTAAAAAATCATTTAATGATTTAAAAGAATCATTAAAAACAGTGATGGAATATTGATATCGAAAGTATTAAAACACTTTAGTAATAACTATTCTTATTATAAAAGTATCAGTGTACATATGCTGCATAGTACTTAACATATATATATATATAAAAAGTCAAATCTGTATCTTCATTATCTTTTTTAAAGTAAAGAAATCAATCTTCCAGTGATGAATGGTAAGGCATACACTCACAATTTTCTTCGAGGCTCAAGTTAAAAGAGCATTATGTCTTTAAAAAATATGATCCTTTGTTTCAAAATGGAAGCCCTAGTGGCGCAGTGGTTAAGAGCTACGGCTGCTAATCAAAAGGCTGGCAGTTCGAATCCACCAGCCACTCCTTGGAAACCCTACGGGGCAGCTCTACTGTGTCCTATAGGGTCACTCTGAGTCAAAATCGACTTGATGGCAATGGGTTTGGTGATTTGGCATTTCAGTATGAAATAAATTTACAACTTTCTGAAAAAAAAAAGTGAAACAAGTTGGAGAGAAAATAATATTACACTTATCCCTCACTGGAATGAGAGTTTCATTTTGTCTTTCCCTCTGGGCGAGGTCTTAAAATCTCTAAGAAATTTCAAAGGATTTTTATCTGCTTTAGTTTTAAAGCACTCAAACTTAGCATCCAACTGGTGCATTATCCAAACATGTAAGAATCTGGTTAAAAGCCAGCTTTTCCTCTACCTATATTTTATCTGCTCCCTGATTCTGCCTGCTTTAAAAGTTGTTCAAGTCCCAGAACAAGGTAGAAATTCTTTAAAGCATAAGATACCATCAGAAATTGCTAAAGTTGATTTCAGCTTTTCAAAGTAATGGCATAGGGTCATTGATAGGAGGCTTGTACATAATTTTTGGGTATCCACATAATGGAATACTATGGAACTGTTAAAAAAAGAAAGAATGATGCAGATAAGATTCAAAATATAATGAAAAAGTGAAAAAAGCAAGATACCTGAATAGTCTGTAGAATATGCTATAATTTATGGGTGAAAAAAGAATAAAATATATATATATTTGTTTGTATATACATAGACTAACTCTGGATATACAAAAAACAGGTAATATTAGTTGCCCTAAGGGGAAAAACTGGGTGGCTGGGGTAGAGGGATACGAGGGAGACTCTACTGGTTTCCCTTTTGTACCTTTTGAATTTTGAACCACATGAATAAAATTAGAAAGAATTCAGTAACTTAATACTTATTTTATAAAAATATGACCTGGTTTATAAAAATACAAAAACAGCATTCCTAGATGATAAAACATATTACCACAATATCACTAAGCCAGATGCTGTTGAGTCGACTCCACCTCATGAGGATCCTGTGTGTTAAGAGTAGAACTAGCTCCATAGGGTTTTCAATGGCCGACTTTTCAAAAGTAAATCACCAGGGCTTTCTTCTCAGGAGCCTGTGGGTGAACTTGAACCTCCAACCTTTCAGTTAGCAGCTGAGCATGTTAACTATTTGCACCACTCAGGGACTCCCAAGAATCTCAGACATATAACCAATTAAAATTAGCCCTCCAATTACGAAAACATTTTAATAAGAACTTTAACATACATAAATGTTTAACATTTAGGTATCATTTTGGCTTTCTTTGGAGGAGTCCTGGTGGTGCAGTGGTTAAACTGCTCAGCGACTAACTGAAAGGTCAGCAGTTTGAACCCACCAGTCACTCCATGGAAGAAAGATGTGGCAGGCTGCTTCCGTAAAGATTACAGCCTCGGAAACTGTACGGGTCAATTCTACTCTGTCCTATTCGGTTGCTATGAGTCGGAATTGACTGGATGACAGTGAGTTTGGTTTTGATTTGGTTTGGCCTTCTTTATAGTTTCCAATCATAAAAAGTTTTAATAATTAAAATGTCATCATTCCTAAATATTTACCTACCAATTAAATACAAAGTTCTATAAAATCCAAGGCAACCACATTTGTGACAGAAGAAAAAGTCCTTACTTTTCTCGTAATCTTTGAAGCTCCACCTTCAAGTCCTCGTCCTCTATTTCTGACTCATCATCACTGCTCATTGGGGAAGATGGCGAATAGAAGAGTGAGCTCTGTGTTTGAACATAGGCTTGTTCTTCATGGCACTGATCACTCTCAGGACCAATCTTTGCCACTGACTTTTCATTGCCAGCAAGAGGGGCTGGAAGTTCACTATCAGAGCTAGGCAGTTTCCCAACAGTCAGTGTCTCTCTCTCTTTAAGCAACAGTTCAGATCCAGACTGCATAGTACTTCCTGTGGCTGAAGGTTCTTCCAATTCCTTTTCTGGAGTCATAGAAGATATACCAGTCTCACAAGCTGTGCTGAAAGATAAGAAGTCACCTTGTTTGGGAATTCCTTTATCTTCTTTAATGGTTCCATAAAGAGCTTGTAACTTCTGAAGAGAGAATGAAGTTTGTGGATTATGCACGGCAGGTTCCATTTCTATCAACTGAGACTTTGCTGTTTTAGTAAATACTAGAGTTTCTTCATTAGAATGGTTTGTCATTTGATTGAAAGCTGGTATGTGCTCTATTCCAAAAGATGTCACTTTCACCGACTGTTGCTGAGGAACTGTAATCACCTGAGATACAAAAAGGCAAAAGTGGCTGGCTCCACTTAGCCAAAGATGAAACTTCATGAAGAAATTCAGTATCAATATATGACACAGACAAGTGGATGGTCTGCTGTGATGTACACGAATCAACAATACTAAAACTTAAAAATCCCACCTATACTCTCCATATTCAAAGTCTTTCAATAGGGCCCCTTGGGTAAAGCAAGTTGGCTTTATACTGTTCAAATAAAGTTACACAATTCGAAAAAAAACAACAACAACACATTGCCAAGAATTGGAAGGACATGAAATTAGATTTACAAAAAAAGATGACCAAACCCCCACCCAAATGATGACCCATCTCTGTGCTCTCCTCCAGCACTAAAATCCCCATTTCTTTACACTCACTTTTTCTGGATGTCTTCAAAATATGAGGGAATGTGTGCAAGGGGAACAAATTAAATGATCTACATTTAAAATAAGTATTGATCTATGGATCAGGATCTTAAATGCTGTTACCTTTAGTAATGCCCTTGTAGATAAGGAATCAACCAAAGACACAAACCTGGAACCGACCCCGCTGAAATGATCCACTCATCACTTTACATCTACTCAAAGCCCTAGTATCAGCTATGGACTCTCGTGTCAAAGGAATGGGATCAGGAGCAACTGCTGATTTCATATCTTCTGTTTCCACTGAAAGTTTTGCCAAATTGTAAGCAGAAAAAAGAAAATTGTTAAGATTAAATTTGCTTATGTTACCAAATGGAAGAAAAGTAGAAAAAGTTTAACTCCTGCTAGATAATTAAAAGGTGTTAATGTACTAAGCAGCATTGCATAAGTCCCTCACTCTAAATCAGGCATTGCAAGATTTATCCCAAGACTTAGTATATACATGAAATGAATAACTAGAAAACCAAATTAGTTACAAAAGGAAAAATAAAATGGCAATGGCATTAATGGGATGTATAACATACACAGGCTATGAGGAAAAGTGGCAAGATTTGCATATGAACCAAAAAAAATACGTAAGAAAATGAAAAGTGATGTTACCTAGTCTATGTCCCTGACTGTAAGCACACTACCTTGATGGACTTTTGATCTCTTGAAAAAGCTGGTTGACTGCCGTAGCCTGTATGCCCAGCTTTTTAATTTGCGAGTCCAGGATTTCTTGCTAATAGGATTTTTGAGACTAGGACAAGTAAAGCTTAGGCCAAAATATCCACCTCCTGTGTGCAGATGAATGGCTCCACCGCTTGACACAGCAGCAGGATAGGCCTCTGGATCCCCTGGAAGTAAAGCATCGGGGGACATCTCCTAATGGAGACAAAAAGAGAAAAACCAAAATGTAGTAGTTTAGGTTATAGCATGTTATGGATTGAATTGTGTTCCCCCTAAAATGTGTGTCAACTTGGCTAGGCCATGATTCCCAGTATTGTGTGGTTGTCCTCCATACTGTGATCTGATGTGATTTTCCTATGTGTTGTAAATCCTAACCTCTATGATGTTAATGAGGCAGGATTAGAGGCAGTTATGTTAGTGAGGCAGGACACGATCTACAGAATTAGGTTGCATCTTGAGTCAATCTCTTTTGAAATATAAAAGAGAGAAGTGAGCAGAGAGGAGAGGAACCTCATTACCACCAAGCAAAAAGAGCCTTTGGACCTGGGTCCCTGTGCTGCAGACTGATGACAAGGACCTTCCCCCAGAGCCACAAGAGACAGAAAGCCTTCCCCTGGAGCTGGCGCCCTGAATTCAGTCTTCTAACCTCTTAAACTGTGAGAATAAATTTCTGTTTGTTAAAGCCATCCACTTGTGGTACTTCTGTTATAGCAGCACTAGATAACTAAGACAGAATTTGATAGCAGGAGAGTGAGGTGCTGCTCTAACAGATACCTACAATGTGGAAGCAGTTTTGGAATTGACTAATGGGTAGAGGCTAGAAGAGTTTTAAAGTGCCTAATAGTAAAAGCCTAGATTTCCTTGAAGAGACCGTTGGTAGAATTATGGATGTCAAAGACAATTCTGGTAAGGGCTCATAAAGAAGTGAGGAGAGCTGTAACACTGAAGATGGCGTAGATGGCAAGAAGCCACAGTAGAGAAATGGCAGCAGCAGAACCTGAAGGCGGGCGCGACAAGGTGCAGGAGCCGATCCATGGAGCAAGAGAGCGGAGTGCTTTTGGACAGGAGGCTTCCTGGTGGAGTGGGGTGCCTCTGGGCACTTATAGGTGGACCTAGGCTTGCTGACCCAAGGAGCAAGGGAGTTGAGTGCCTTCCGGCCAAGGTAGTTTGGAGGAATGGGGTGCTTCCAGGCACTTATCTGTAGAGCTAAAGAGCTTTGTAACACTTGCCTGAGCAGGGCAGATGCCGAGAAGGCCCAAGAGCCCCAAGGGGCCAAGAGACCAAGGAAGCAGGAAGCAGAAGCTGAAGAGACAAGGAGCATAGGAAGCAGAGCTGACTTGGTCTCAAAGGGTAGGGCCACAAGCTCTGGGATCTCAAAGGGTGGAACTACAGCCTTCTGGGTCTCAAAGGGTGGGGCCACAGCCTCCTACATTTCAGAGTCAGATCTTCACCAACTTGGTTCTGAAGTGTGGGGCTGCCTTTCACGAGTGCAAGTGGGATGTGACATGATCTGCTGCCCAAAGCTGAGGGGGCGAGGCTGCCATATCCAAGGGGCAGAAGAACAGGGCCTGCCGGGGCCAAGGGGGCAGGGCTGCCACTCAGACTAGGAGAATGGGGCTTCCCAAATTTGAGGGAGCAGAGTTGCCATCCCAATGGGCATGAAAGGTGGAGCTGAAGCCCAGGGTCAAGGCCTCCACCCAGAATCCAGAAAGCGTGGCCAACACCCACAGTCTGGAGGGCACGGCCATTGCCTAAATGGTCTCAGAGAACAGAGAATTATTTTCAAGCCTTGAGAGCTAATGTAATGTGTTCTGCTGACTTGCTTGGTGCCTGTTATCCCTTCTTTCCCTCAAATTTCTCCCATTTGTAATGGAAAGGTCTACCTTATGCCTTTTCCACCATTGTACTTTGGAAGCAGATAACTTGTATTCTAGACTTGACAGATGAAGAGGAATTTTGCTCCAGGATGGAATTTGGACTTGGAGTTGATTTAAAACTTTTGGGATGATATGATGGGGTGAATGTGGCAAGGACATGAATTTTGGGGGGCCAAAGGGTGGAATGTTATGGATTGAATTGTGTTCCCCTAAAATATGTGTCAATTTGGCTAGTCCACGATTTCCAGTATGGTGTGGTTGTCCTCCACTTTGTGATCTGAGGTAATTTTCCCATGTGTTGTAAATCCTAAACTCTATGATGTAAGGAGCCCTTGTGGTGCAGTGGTTAAGAGCTAGGCTGCTAACCAAAAGGTCAGCACTTCAAACCCACCCACCGCTCCTTAGAAACTCTATAGGGCAGTTCTACTCTGGTAGGGTTGCTATGAGTTGGAACTGACTCCAACGGAAATGGGTTTGGGTTTTTGTTGTTGTTGTTATGATGTTAATAAGGCAGGATTAGAGGCAGTTATGTTAATGAGGCAGGACACAATCTAGAGGATTAGGTTGTATCTTGAGTCAATCTCTTTTGAGCTATAAAAGAGAGAAGCTACCAGAGAGGAGAGGGACCTCATTACCACCAAGCAAGAAAAGCCGGGAGTGGAGTGTGTCCTTTGGACCTGGGGTTCCTGCACTGAGAAGCTCCTAGACCAGGGGAAGATTGATGACAAAGACCTGCCCCCGAAGCCAATAGAGAGATAAAGTCTTCCCCAGGAGCTGGCTCCCTGAATTTGGACTTCTAGCCTTCTAAACTGTGAGAGAATAAATTTCTGTTTGTTAAAGCTATCCACTTGTGGTATTTTGCTATAGCAGCACTAGATAACTAAGACATAACACTTGCTATAATTTTGCCTAGAATGTTCTTCAAACTGCTTGTTGGATGGCTACTCAGGTCTCCACAAGTGAATGCCACCCCCACATGAAATCTCTGATGAACCTATATAAATAATCCCTAGTCTTTCCATGTTTGCCCTTTACTTAAATAATCTGCAAACCATACTTGTTTATTTTTTTAGGGTCTATCTTCCCTCCCCAGAATGTAAGCTCCATAAATGCAGGAGTTTTGACTTATGCATTGCTTGATAGATATTTGATGAATGGATGAGTGAACTGGTTGGGGTACCAAAGAAGGAACAGTCAGGCAGCTATGTCCCTTCCCTCCCCACCTCCTCACCATGCAGAACACAGCAGAGGCATTTGTGTCCAAAAAAGAGCTATGAGAGGAAAAAGTTGTGGCCAAAAGAAAGGTCAATAACAAAGGGAGGAGACAAAATGCAGGAGGAAGGGGAATCCCTCCCACCTTTGAAGATTAGCTAGTAGGCTACTCTAGAGGTAGCATTAGAGACAAGTTACAATATACTGTGCCAAGAAGCATGCCCCATGCTTTCCCACAATTACTAGAGGAAGGCTACAGTATATATATATATATATATAAAACCATAAAACTCTTAGAAGAAAATGTAGGGGTAAAGCTTCAGGATCTAGTCTCAAAAAATGGGTTCTTAGGTATGACACCAAAAGCATGAGCAACAAAAGAAAAAATAAACGGGATTTCATTAAAAACAAACAAACAAACAAAAAAAACACATTTGTTCATCAGAGGACGTTATCAAGAAAGTGAAAATAAAACCTACACAATGGGAGAAAATATTTGCAAACCATATATCTAATAAAGGTTTAATTAATATCCAGAATATATAAAGAACTCCTATAACTCAACATCAAAAAGGCAAACAACCCAATAAAATCATGAGCAAAGAACTTGGATAGATATTTCCAAAGAAATAAAGAAGATACACAAATGGCCAATAAGCACATGAAAAGATGGTCAACGTCATCAGTCACTAGGGAAATGTAAATCGAAATCACAATGAGATATCACTTCACACCCACTAAGATCACTATGATTAAAAAAATGAAAAACTATAGGTATTGATGAGGATGTGGAGAAACTAGAACCCTTATCAATTGCTGCTGGGAATTAAAATGGTACAGCCACTGTGAAAAACAGTCTGGTGGTTCCTCAAAAAAGTTAAACATAGAATTACCATGTGATACAGCAATTCCACTCCCAGGTATATACCCAAAGGAATTGAAAGCAGAAACACAAACAGATATGTTTATACCAATGTTCACTGCAGCATTATTCATAATAGCCAAAATGTGGCAACAGCCTAAATGCCCATCAAAAGAGATGAATAAACAAAATGTGCTACATACATAAAATAGAATATTATTCTGCCATAAATATAAATGAACTGCTGATACATGCTACAACATGGATGAACCTTGAAAACATTATGCTGAGTGAAATATGTCAGTCTCAAAAGGACAAATATTGTATGATCCCACTTATATGAAATATCTAGGATAAGCAAGTGTATAGAGACCAAAGTTTATTAGTGGTTACCAGGGACAGGCTGGAGGAGGGGGAAAATGGGGACTCATTGCTTAGAAGATACTGAGCTTCTGTTAAGGGTGATGGAAAATCTGGAAATGGATAGTGGTGATGGCTGAACATAATTAATTAATGTCACTGAATTGTACATGTGAAGAGTGTTAAAAAGGCAAAGGTTTTGTTACATATATGTTTACCACAATAAAAAATAAAACAAAAAAACCTACAATGAGATGCTACTTCACACCCACGAGGATGGATATTATTAAAAAAGAAAATAACAAGTGTGGTAAAGAATATGCAGAAATTGGAACCCTCATCCATTGCTGGTGGGAATATAAAATGGTGCAGTTTCTGTAGAAAGCAGTTTGGCAGTTCCTCAAAAAGTTTAACGTAGAATTACCATATGACCCAGCAATTCTACTCCTAGGTATATACCCAAAAGGACTGAAAGCAGGTGTTCAAATAAAAACTTGTACATGAATATTCATAACAGCACTGTTTACAATAATCAAAAGGTAGAAACAATCTACAAAATGCAGTATATCCATACAATGAAATAATATTCAGCCATAAAAAGGAATGAAGTACTGATACATGCTACAATATGGATGAACCTTGAACACATTCTGCTAAGTGAAAGAAGCCAGACACAAAAGGCCACATATTGTATGATTCCATTTATATGAAATATCCAGAAAAGGCAAATCCATGAAGACAGAACACAGATTAGTCGTGGCCAGTGGCTACGGGAAGGGGAAAATTGGGAGTGACTGCTTAGTGTGTATAGGGTTTCTTTTTGGGGTGATGAAAAAAGTTCTGGAAATAGACACTGTTGATGGATGCACAATATCGTGAATGAACTTAATGCCAACGAATTGTACACTAAAAACGGCTATAACGGTAAATTTTATGTTGTGTGTCTTTTACCACAATAAAAAAAGAGATAAGAAAAGAGATAAGGAAAAGGAAATTAAAAATGAGTTTAACTATTAAGAGATATGGATGATATACACAGGAGGCCAAATATCTCCTATAAGTTCTAAAAGGAAAGAAGAAAGACAAAAAAGAAACAAAAATAAAGTTTATTTGAGCTGAAGAAAGACATAAATCTTCGAAGGGCCCACAAACAGTAATGTACAGAATGAATGGAAAAACAACATACCTATATACATTCCGAAAAAATTTCAGAACTCCAAGATAAAGCCTCTAGACTTGCAGTATTAAATACAGTAGCCACTTACCCCATGTGGCTGTTCAAATTTTAATTAATTAAAATTAAACAATTAAAAAGTCAATTCCTCAGTTATACTAGCCACATTTCAAGCGCTTAATAGCCACATGTGGTTAGTGGCTGCCCTGTTGGATAGCGCAGATATAGAACATTTCCACATCGTAGAAAGTACTATTGGACAGTACTGGTCTATAGTAAAAATAGGATACCTACAAATGAATGATAATGAAACTGACATCACTCTCATCAGCAACATTGGAGGCTAAAAGACAATGAAACAATGTTTTCTAAATTCTGAAAGGAAAAAATTATGATTTTACCATTCTGCAATTAAATCAATCTAGTGAGAAGCAAAATTAAAACATATTTGGACATGCAAAAAAACACTAAATCAATCATTTATCCAATGTATTTGAAAATATTATTCATTGAAGCATTGAAAGAAGGAATTAAAAAAAAGAAATTCTAGGACACCAGAAACAGTGGTAGCTAAGTATGGTCCAGATGTAGCAATGGACACTTGAAGCAAACAAAATAATCTTCTTGACCTTGACACTTGTGTCTCCCTTGAATAATAAAATTTAAATGACAGAGAATTATATTTCATTTTTTTATGGTTGTAATCATATTACCTGATCACTGGACAACAGACATGACCATAATATTAATGTTGTTTATTGATTTTCAATTCTTAGAATCAACCTATAGACAAAGCACCAATTGTTACAGAACAGCATGTAAATGTTATAAACTTCACCAATGTTAAAAAGGTAATATAAGTAATAACAATTAGGAAGAATAAGGGGAAGAGAAGTGGAAAGGAAAATACAATAATTTCCTACAGGGTCTCTATGAGTCGGAATCAACTCGACGGCAATGGGTTTGCTTTTTTAAGGAGCCCTGGTGGCACAGTGGTTGAGCACTTGGCTGCTAACCAAAAGGTCAGCAGTTTGAACCCACAAGCTGCTCCGTGGGAAAAAGTTGTGGCAGTCTGCTTCCGTAAAGATTTATAGCCTTGGAAACCCTACGGGGCAGTTTTACTCTGTCCTATACAGTCGCTATGAGTCAGAATTGACTCGACGGCTGTGGGTTAGGTTCATAGCATTGAGTCAGTAGGTATTGTCTAAAATTACTAAGATTAAAGAAATAGATGAATAAGTACATCATTTACAAGTCATTAATGACAATGACCACAAGAATTAAAACCAGGAACTTAACAATGCTTGTGGACTGGGACAAGGTAAGTGTGGGGGGTGTTAACATAACTATTACTTTTCATTTTCTATCCTCCTGAATTGACTGAATTGCTTTTGTATTTACACATTAATTCTATAATTTAAAATTACTAGTTTATCAAAAAATAAATATTTAAATTATATGTATTCAATGAAATATTATATAGTAGTCTTAAAAAGTTAAGTAAGTCAGAACTATGTGTACTGACATGGATAGAGACCCATAAAATATTAAGTGAAAAAATAAAAATGCATAACAGGACATATCTGTAAACAGCCCTGGTGGAACAGTGGTTAAGTGCTCAGCTGCTAACTGAAAGGCTGGCATTTCAAACCCATCCAGCAGCTCCATGGGATAAACACCTAGTGATCTGTTTCCGTAAAGATTACAGCCTATAAAACCCTATGGAAACAAAAAAATCACCAAAGGAAAAAAAAAAAAAAAAAGGTTGAGAAGGGAGAGGGTTGACATGTTGTGGGGCTGTTAACCAATGTCATAAAACAATATGTGTACTACTGTTTCATGAGAAACTATTTGATTCTGTAAGCCTTCACCTGAAATACAATTAAAAAAAAAAAACCCCATGGAGCATTTCTACTCTGTCACATGGGGTCACTACGAGCTGGAATCAACTCGACAGCACCCAACAAGAACAACAAAGAGGTATATCTATATAAACATATAATATGTACATATTTATGTATAAATAATAAATATATAAGTATATAAATATAAGTGTATATTTATTAAAACCGTATCTGGAGGGGGTGAGGTACACATTACTTTATGTACAAGCACATCTTACTTATATAATAACAATAATAAAGAGATACAGTGATAAAGATTTTAAAAGATGTCTATGACATATTGTTAAATGAAAAAATAAAGTAGCACACCAAGGTGCACATAGCACAATCCTATTTTTGTGAATAAAAAGCTGTGATTATTATGTATGTAGCTAGATCTGTGTAAACTAAAGAAAAATCAAGAACGATAGCATCAAATTAATAGTGATTACCTCTGTGTTTTGAAAGGGCAAAAAAAGGAAATTGGATAATTTTTACTTTCCTTTTGTATTTTTCAAATAAATTAAAACAAAAAAAGATTAAATTAAAATGAAAATTAAAAAAAGAAAAGAAAAAATGAGTTCCCGAAACATCTTACAATGTGGATGAAACTGTAGGGCATTATGTTGGTCTTAATAAGCCAATCACAAAAAAACAAATATTATCTGTTCCTACTTTTATGAAATGCCATGAATAGATAAATACACAGAAACTTATGTTCATTAGTGGTTGCCAGGGATGGGTAGGGAGGGGGTAAGTGAGGGAGTCACTCTGTCACTCTCTAGATAGTAGACACTTGTTATTTTTGGTGATGGGAAAGGAAACACCAAATGAGGGTGAAGGGTGCACAGCTTGACGAAGGTAAATGATGTCACTAAAATGTACACAAGAAAAAAGGACCTTTGATTAATTGCTATAGCATATTTAATTTTGCAACAATAGCAACAACAATCAAAAAATATAGGTTGGGGTATATATCTATGTATGTAGGCATATATATGTGTATATATAGGTATATGCAAATATATATGTATGTATGTCTGTGCAAGCATATATATTCATATATATAATAAAATACATAGGGGGTACAGTTATGCATACTTCTTAGACATAACGAAACATTTCACGGGATTGGTTTTATGGGTTTGAAGGCTTATGACCACAGTCTCGTGGGACAACTCAGTCAATTGGTATAATACACAGTTCATAAACTTTATGTTCTACATCCTAGTTTGGTGAGTAGTGTCTGGGGTCTTAAAAGTGTACAAGTGGCCATCTAAGGTATAGCTAGTGGTCCCTACTCTTCTGGAACAAAAGAGAAGGAAGGAAACCAAAGACTCAAAGAAGAAACTAGTCTACAGGACTGACAGTCTACACAAACCATGGCTTCATCTACCCTTAGACTAGAAAAACTAGATGGTGCCTGGCTACCACTACTGACCATTCTGATAAGGGCCACAATAGATAGACCCTGATAGAATGGGAGAAAATGTGGAACAGAATCTCAAATTCTTAAAAAAATTCAGACTTACTGGACTGGTTGAGACTGGAGAACTCCCTGAGACTACTGCCCTGAGATACTCTTTAAACCTTGAACTGAAACTAACCCCTGAGGTCACTGTGTAGCTAAATCATAGACTGGCTCACAAAATAAATATTATCACCTGTAAGTACCAAGCTCCTTTAAAAAAATCACCTATATAAGACCAAACAGTTAACAATTACTTTAAGACAAAGAGGAGAATATAAGGGGGCAGGGAAACTAGCTTAATGGAAAACAGAACAACCAGGATGGAAATAATGAGAATGTTCACGCACTGTGAAGAATGTAACCAATGTCACTGAACAACTAGTGTAGAAATTGTTGAATGGGAACCTAAACCGCTGTGTAAACCTTCATTGAAAACACAATAAAATATCATTAAAAAAGAAGCACATTTAGCATGCCTTAATTAATGAAACTGAAAATTAATGAAAGTATGCTATAATACTGTTCCACTTTCCATTTCTGTCTAATCAAAATCTATTTGGTAGGCCCAGCCCATAACGTTTCCTGATTCTCATCCAACTAGAAGTAATTCCTAGTTCTTGTGCATTTATACCTCTTTTTGAGTATTTCTTATATCCTATGCTACGAAGTAGTTATTTCTGAATATCATCTACTCCACTTAACTATGTCTTCTGGAAGCAAGGGTATGTCATTCTCTATCCTTGTGTATGTCCTCAGCCACTGCCTTGAAGAAGGTATAAAATAAAAGGTTATTGTATTAAATTTATGGAGCTCTTGGTGGCACAGTGGTTAAGAGCTCAGCTGCTAACCAAAAGGTTGGCAGTTCAGATCCACCAGCTGCTCTATGGAAGCCCTATGGGGCAGTTTTACTCTGTCCTATAGGGTCGCTATAAGTTGAAAACGACTTGATAGCAATGGATTTTTGTTGTTGTTGTTGTTCTTATATTAAATTTTAAAAAAAGAAAACTGATAAGTGGTATTTTGAAGTGGAAATCTAAAAGTTCTTCCTACCCACTGAAACAATCCATAAATCAGTTTCTTTCATGTCATTAATACAATAAATACACATATTGCTTTTAAGTTCCTAGCTAATTTACCAGAGGGCTCTCTTACTAAAGATAGTTCTGCCATCTCTACTGAGCAGTTCTGGGCACCTGCAGGCTAAGTCATGGCTTTCTTAAATACCTGTAACCTCAGAATTTTGTGATAGACAATTGTACTTCAAAGGACAGAATTTTAGAAAACGTGTTTCTTTAAAAGCATAAGCAAACGATAAGGAATTGGTTACAAAGAATGGTACTTACATGCAAACACAATTCGCTGGGTACAGAAGTTATCACATTCAGGTCCCTTTTGAACACTGATATGTTAGCAGGCTGACTCACTGCCACATTGGACAGAATCTTAGAGCTTATCTCCTGAAAATTAGGGGATTGTGCAGGACTATCTTGAATTCCACAGTGACTGATGGCTATGACTTCCGGCACTGAACAGGACAGTGTATCTTCAGCAGAGGAAGAAAATGGAGAGTCTATGCTTTGGGTATCCTTCTGACTCTCAGGATAGCTGCTAGATATGCTATGCTCCTGATAGAGCAAGTTTCTTAATTTTTCATCCAGAGTTTTAATTCGGTTGTCTGCAAACTCCATTTTTGGAGGTCTTTCCCCATCTGATTCCAGGACAGTCGTGGGTAGAAAGGTAGTTGGTTCAAGGCCTGAGGTCTGAGTGGGCATGACTGTCTTAGGAGAACTTGCTTCAGTGTTCACTGTGGTTTCTCCTTCTTGGGAAATAAATTCTGCATCCATAGTTGGCTGCTGTACCGATAAGGATTGAGGCTTTTGATCAGATGTAAATGCTGGAGTTGTAAGAGAGTTACCAGCAATCTGAGTTGATTCTCCGGGATGGGTCATAAGTATATCAGCTTGACTTGCAGCTTGATGATACGAATATACAGGCAGGAATATGCATGCTTGGTTGGTGAATCCCTCACATTCAATTGGAACAGCACAAACTGAAGAAGTACTATAATTGGAACTACTAGTAACTGGTGCCAATATCTGCCTGTCATCTTCCACTTGATAAAGTATAGCTGGCTGTTCACTTTCTACACTAGCACATTCAGAAATCTTACCATCAACTAAATCCTTGTGTTCTGATTTAAAGGTGAAAAGTGCACGCTGGCATGGATTATTTTCTATAGTGGGCAGTGTGTCTTGTGATATTTCCTTATTACTTGTGTTTCTTTGACCTGAAGTAATAACAAAGAATGGATAAGCATGTATTAGTTAAGTTCAAAGCACGGACTGGCACCAAAACTCAACAGGGATAGGAAGAACAAAAGGCAGATGAGAACCTGTGTGAAAGTACTCTTGTAAATAAGACTCAAAATATACAGAACTCAATCTGTCAAGGAAAAAAATGCTTTCTTTATTTCATAAATATTACATTAAAAATGGTTTAAGTTAAACCCTAATATTAATGAATTCAAAAATACTCATGAAATTCTCATAAGCATAAAGCATCAGGAAAAGAAGTTAAAGATATGGTATATATTTTACATTCCCATTTCTCCGAGTCTGGATAAAGCTGCCAGAGAATTAAAACTTACTATAAAGTGGATGTAGCCCAGGAACTATAGACAGAGAATGCTGAAGAGGAGGAGACTGAGCCTCACGATTTCTTATTGTTTGATTGATACAGAATCGCCACCGACCAACTGGGGATGATTGAGGAGCAGACTCATCTGTAGAAAAAAAATTTACACATTTACACATAAATAACATTTTTTTTTACCTTACTGACTAAGGAAACTAGTTTAAAACCCCATTTTATCTTGTGTCTCTATTTCTAACAGCACTAGGATGTGTAATTTATAATACCAGACCTCACAACCTGACAGATAGTCTAAAGATCTAAGCAAAAGATATCTTTAGAGTAGGATTTTAGATTTTACTGAAACACTGTATCAACAGCAATTAGAAGCAAGGCTTTTTTGAAAAAATGGAAATCACTTTTTCCATTAAAACCTGTATCTTCTGTTCTGTACCCTGATTACGGTGGTAATTACAGAAATCTGTGTAAGCATTAAAATTCACAAAACTGTTCACCAAAAAAAGCTCAATTTTGTTGTATGCTAAATTTAAAAAATAAAATAAACCCCTACGTCTTTACTCCTACTTTGTAAATTTACTCAAATAAGTAATTCTCTCTTATATTTTACCCTATTTTGTCAGCCAGAAACTTGTCCAGACCAGAAAAATAAGATACAGGACCCAGGCATACTAACACAGTCAAACTAAATTTCAGGGTAATGGTATCTGGTTCCATTACTCAGATACTATGTTTTGCCTTTTCATGTCAATATAATTCCTTGAGAGGCCTTCATTTGTCTATGGTCCTTCTCCCCCTCCTAGATACTCTTAATATATCCATGACCAGAGCTGAGAAGAACAGAGATATAAAGTAGTCAGGAAAGAAAACAGAACACCCCATTTTAGTCCCTGAAAGTTTATCCAGTATCTGATTTATAAAAACTTATCAGTGATGAGAGCAGGTTGAAGCATATCACTGGTGAAATGAAATCAAGATATGAATGACTGTTAAAACATGAGGCAAACTTAGAACATAATGATTTGAATTAGAAAGTTTCTGTCCCTCTCATATCAGAAAAAAAAATAATAACTTACCAGTTAACTTGAAACAGTCAAGCCGTTAAAACTCATAAGTACTATGACTGCTTTTCTGGTATCATACCATGCTCAGAAATAAGTTAATGAGATAAAGAATGAGCACTTAGAGGAAATTTGGAGAATAGTTTCTTATTTCTGGGTTATAAGGTCCTTGCAAAATGTGGGAAAACCTACGTTAACAATTTGTCAGATACCTTTATTGGCTAATATCTGTTCTAATCATGGTATGTAAATTAAAGTTTCCAAATGTCTTGCTTCAAAAGTCAAATGGCAAATTTTATGAAATATACTTACTGCTGGTTTGAGTGGATGCAGAAATTATCTGTACTTGTTCAGATGATCCTGTCTGAATTAAAAATGAATATATAAATAAAGAAGCTCCTGATACATATCAAAGAAGACCTATTTACTAAATAATTGCTGTTACTTGGTTACTGCTGGATTCCACGGTAATAGAGTCAACTCCAATGGCTCTTTCTGCAGCAGAGTGGACATGAAGGATCTCCTGGGCTTGACCTACGACAGCCCTCAATTCTTCTACAAATCTTTCTTTCTCAATTTCCAGCACAAAGTTATCTTCGACCTGCCAAAAAAGTAATTCTATTCATGAAAATGAAGTTAGTTTCTTCAAAATTGTAATACTATATCAATGATGACCACAATGAAGAAAAATATTAAAAAGGAATATTTAGCTTCAAATGCCACAACTGAGTTAACAGAGGTAAGTAATAAAATGCCACAGAATACATTAAATTATTGTTTCTATTTTGACATCACTGACACTTGTGAGATTGGCAATATCTATTATAGAAATCAGTATTTTTTAAAAAATCTAGTGTTGTATATATGGATTGGAAACCCTGGTGGTGTAGTGGTTAAGAGCTAAGGCTGCTAACCAGAGCTATGGCTGCTAATCAAAAGGTCAGTAGTTCGAATCCACCAGGCGCTCCTTGGAAACCCTTATGGGGCAGTTCTTCTCTGTCCTATAGGGTCACTATGAGTGGAAACTGACTTGACGGCAATGGGTTTGGTTTTAGATATATGGATTGTCATCTGAAGACCATAAGTGAGGCAATGTGTATGTTTAAAATTAGGAACTCTAAACTCAAAAGCTTTTAAATCACAAATCACAAAATGAAACATCTCCAAAGATGATAAAAAATGGTCCAGGACACCTTATATGAGGATTAAACATTCATGAGAAATATGAAAGAAGAGACAGTTCAGAAAATACTATGTTAAACATGAGGCAGAACTGACATAATGATTAACTTTTAAAATGTTTAATTCTGCCTGGCAAGGAATGCATACCTAAAGAAAATTGGCAGAAAGAAAAACATTATACACTCTCCCTGTCATCCTAGCCCAAACTCAACATAAAAAGAGAAAAATAATAACTTAAGCCTAACAATTCAAAGAGGGGCCCTGGTGGTGCAGTCGTTAAGCACCCAGTTGGTAACCAAAAAGTCTGTGGTTCAAATCTACCAGCTGCTCCTCGGAAGAAAGATGTGGCAGTCTCCTTCTACAGCCTTGGAAACCCTATAGGCAGTTTGAACAATTCAAAGAAAATATGAAAACTAAATAAAATGATGAACATAATTTGAGCAACTATATGCAAGATGTTAGAACAGTGGGTAACACATTAGACTCATCCGGGGAGCTTTACAAACTATTGAGGCTTAGGCCCCACCTCCATAGATTCTACTTTAATTAGAGAGCTCAAGAAATGGAATTATTTTTACAAGCTCTTCAGGTGATTTTAACACGCAGCCAGAATGAAGAACCACTGATCTAGATCATCTCTTAATGAACCCCCCTCCTTTATATTTTCCAGATAAATAAATTGAAGCCAGAGGAGATGTAGTAAGCTACCCTTGACCATAACCTCTTTAATCTGTACAAAATTAAAACACTAACAGAACACTAAAAAGAAGATGGCTCTGAATAAATAGGGGGAGAGTTAGGGTGAAAAAGAGGCAAAGAATGCTGAAGGGAAACACTTTTGGTTTTATTATACTTACCATATAGTCTGCAATATCTTCTGGAGCATCACCATCAACATCAAACTTAAAGGTGACCATCTTGTTATTGTGTGTCTCTAGCTGACACTCCACCATGTTGTCTCCAGAGGTCGACACCTGGGCACAAACATTTTACCAGTTTAAAAGTTAGTCATTGTCTTCTCCTTGTAAATTGTGCCGGGAACATCTAGACAAATCTGCTACAATATATGGGGGAAATGGTTTAAATGGTTCAGACTATAAAAAGATGGTTTTTCCCTTGGTGAAATACTACCTAAACAGTCATTCTATAACAAAGCTAAGAGGCTCAAATTACTTAGCAAAAAATAAGTTAGGAATGTGATCCTGCGTTAGTAGGAAAGACAACTGAACACAACTTTTTAAGAAAGGCAAAAAAGTTAAAAATAACTATAGCTATGGGCAATGAAAAGATCTAAATTCAGTCGTTCATTTTCAAAATTCTCTCAGCCCCACAAATGACTCTTTAAGGAAAAGAAGATGCACTATAATAGAAATATAAACTGGTCCAACCTTTCCAGAAAACAATTTAGCAACATATATTTAGAAACTTTAAAAATCTTCATATTCTCTCACCCACTAATTCCACTTAGAAATCTATCATAATAATCAAGGGACATATACAAAGATTTGTGTTCAAGGATATCTGCTGCAGAGAGAGAAAGAGAGTGAGAAAGTTAGAAAGAAAAGAAAGATTAGCAGAAAGAGACAGACAGAAAGAACCTATGTGAGGAATAACAGAATACTTCTATACAAGGGACTATCTAATGCAGCTATTTAAAATACCAAGTTATTGAAAAATTACTTTATGACACAGGAAAATGTATTTTATATATATACATATATAAAGTTTAAAAAAAGGCAGGATATAAAATTGTAAATAGGTTAAAACATCCATCCAAAATTGGTTAAACACATGGGCTTTAAAGTATGATCTGGGTTCAGATCTGACTATCATTTGCTAGACTTTAGGCAAATTATTTTACCTCTCTGAACTTCAGTATCCTCATTTGGACACAAGAGTATACTACAACTGACCATACAGGGTTACTGAAAAATTAAATGCATATCATTTTCAGTGCCTTTTCCTCTCCCAGTTACCACTGAGTTAATTCCGACACATGGCGACCAAACTCGTGTGTCAAGGTAACCTGTCAGAGTAGTGTTTTCAATAGCTGATTTTTTGGAACCAGATGGCCAGGCCTTTCTTCAAAGACACCTGTGGGTGGATATGAACCACCAACCTTTAAATTAGCAGCTGAGTACTTAAGCATTTGCACAACCCTGAGACTCCATTTGGGGTGCCTAGCACAGAAGAATTCAGTAAGTTTTTGCTACTATTATTAGTAAAATTATTACAATTTTAACCATGTAAAATGGTACAGATACATAAAAAAAAGAGATGAAAATAAACTAAAACATTAAGGGAGCTATCTCTGAGTGGTGGGATTACAAGTGATTTTTATTTTCTTGCTTGTATTTCTCCAAATTTAATAATTAACACATAATACTTTCAGGAATTTAATTTTAATTTTTTTATTGTACTTTACATGAAGGTTTACAGAGCAAACTAGTTTCTCACTAAACAATTAATACACATATTATTTTGTGACATTAGTTGTCAACCCCATGACATGTCAACACTCTCCCCTTCTCGACCTTGGGTTCCCCATTACCAGCTTTCCTGTCCCTTCCTACCTTCTCGTCCTTGCCCCTGGGCTGGTATGTACATATAGTCTCGTTTTCTTTTATGGGCCTGTCTAATCTTTGGCTAAAGGGTGAACCTCAGGAGTGACTTCATTACTGGGGGTCCGGGGGCCATACTCTTGGAGTTTCTCTAGTCTCTGTCAGACCAGTAAGTCTGCTCTTTTTTTTTTTTTTTTCTTTGTGAGTTAGAATTTTGTTCTATATTTTTCTCCAGCTCCGTCTGGGACCCTCTATTGTGATCGCTGTCAAAGCAGTCGGTGGTGGTAGCGAGGCACCATCTAGTTGTGTTGGACTCAGTCTAGTGGAGGCTGTGGTAGCTGTGGTCCATTAGTCCTTTGGACTAATCCTTCCCTTGAGTCTTTGGTTTTCTTCATTTTCTCTTGCTCCAGACAGTGTGAGACCAGATGGAGTATCTTAGATCGCCGCTCACAAGCTTTTAAGACTCCAGACGCTACGCAACAAAGCAGAACGTAGAACATTTTCTTTATAAATGATGTTATGCCAATTGAGCTAGATGTTCCCCAAGACCATGGTCCCCACAGATCTCAGCCCAGTAATCTGGGCCCTGAGGGAGTTTGGATGTGTCTATGCAGCTTCCATGATCTTGCCCAGGACAAGTTGTGCAGGCCTTCCCAGGACTGTGTAGTCTTACCCTTCATCAAAGTTACAATTTATCTGTTGTCTGTTTAGTGTTTTTCTCTCCCACCCCCGCCCTTGCAACCATCAAAGATTGTTTCTTTCTGTGTGTAAACCTTTTCATCAGTTTTTTATAGTAGTGGTCTCATACAGTATTTGTTCTTTTGTGATTGACTTATTTCACTCAGCATAATGCCCTCTAAATTCATTCAAGTTGTGAGATGCTTTGCAGATTCATCACTGTTCTTTATAACTGCAAAGTGTTTGATTGTGTGTACGTACCGTAGTTTGTTTATCCGTTCATCTGTTGATGGACACTTAGATTATTTCCATCTTTTTGCTATTGTGAACAATGCTACAATGAACATGGGTGTGCATATGTCTATTCATGTGACGACTCTTATTTCTCTAAGACACATTCCTAGGAGTGGGACTGCTGGATCGTATGGTATTTCTAGCTTTTTAAGGAAGCGCCATATCGTTTTCCAAAATGGCTGTACCATTTTGCATTCCCACCAGCAGTGCTAAGAAGTTCCAATCTCCCAGCAGCTTCTCCAACATTTGTTATTTTCTGTTTTTTTGATTCGTACCGGTAATGTCAGGGTGAGATGGTATCTCCTTGTAGTTTTGATTTGCATTTCTCTAATGGCTAGTGATCACGAGCATTTCCTCATGTATCTGTTAGCAGCTTGAATGTCTTCCTTGGTGAATTGTCTGTTCATATTCTTTGCCCATTTTTTAATTGAATTGTTTGCCTTTTTGTTGCAGAGGTGTTGGATTTTCCTGTAGCTTTTAGAGATTAGTTCTTTGTCGGATTTGTCATAGCCAAAATTTTTTTCCCAGTCTGTAGGTTCTCTTTTTACTCTTTTGATGAGAGTAAGTGTTTACTTTTTAGAAGATTCCACTTATCTAGCTTATATTCTAGTGTCTGTGTATTGTTAGTTATGGTTTGTATCTTGTTAATGCCGTGTATTAGGGTCTCTAGCATTGACCCTATTTTTTCTTCTATAATCTTTATAGTTTTTGGTTTTATATTTAGGTCTTTGATCCACTGTGAATTACTTTTTTTGTATGGTGTGAGGTATGGGTCCTGTTTCATTTTTTTGCAGATGGACATCCAGTTTTGCCAGTACCATTTGTTAAAAAGACTGTCTTTTCCCCGTTTGGTGGACTTTGGGCCTTTGCTGAAGATCAGGTGACCCGAGGTGAATGGATTTACATCAGGGTTCTCAATTCTGTTCCATTGATCAATGTGTCTGTTGTTGTACCAGTACCAGGTTGTTTTGACTACCATAGCTATATAGTAGGTTCTGAGGTTAGGTAGTGCGAGTCCTCCTACTTTACTAATCTACAATAGTGATTTACTTATCTGGGGCTTCTTCCCTTTCCATATAAAGTTAATGATTAGTTTTTCCACCTGTTTAAAGAACGCTGTTGGTATTTGGATCAGGACTGCACTGTATTTGTGGATTGCTTTGGGTAGAACTGACATGTTCACAATATTAAGTCCACCTATCCATAAGCATGGTATGTTTTTCCATTTATGTAGGTCTCTTTTGGTTTCCTGGAGTAGTGTTTTGCAGTTTTCTTTGTAAAGGTCTTCTACATCCCTGGTTAGATTCATTCCTGGTGGCGAAGTGGTTAACACCTCAGGGTGCTAACTAAAATGTCGGCAGTTCAAATTCACCAGGCACTCCTTGGAAATCGTATGGGGCAGTTCTACCCTGTCCTGTAGGGTAGTTATGAGTCAGAATCCAGTCGATGGCACACAAAAACAACAACATAAATGGTACTGTTTTCCTGATTTCCTTTTCATAGTTCTCTTTATTGGTGTAAAGGAATCCAACTGAATTTTTGTATGTTTATCTTGGATCCTGCTACTCTGCTGAATCTTTCTATTCATTTCAGTAGTCCTCTCGTGCAGTCTTTTTGGGTTTTCTATGTATAGTATCATATCATCTGCAAATAGGGACAGTTTTACTTCTTCCTTACCAATTTGGATGCTCTTTATTTCTTTTTCTTGCCTTATTGCTTTAGCTAGGACTTCCAGCACAATGTTAAACAGGAGTGGTCATAAAGGGCATTCTTGCCAAATTCTTGTTCTCAAGGGGAATGTTTTCAGCCTCTTTCCATTAAGAATTATATTGTCTGTTGGATTTGTAACAGAAGCCTTTTATTGTGTTGAGGAATTTCCCTTCTATACTTATTTTATTGAGTTTTTAACAGGAACGGGTGTTGGACTTTGTTGAATGCCTTTTCTGCGCTGATTGAGATGATGTGATTCTTTTATTTATGTGGCAGATTACGTTAACTGATTTTCTAATGGATTACGTTAACTGATTTTCTAATGTTGAACCATCCTTGCATACCTGGTATGAATACTACTTGGTCGTGGTGTATTATTTTTTTGATGTGATGCTGAATTCTATTGGCTAGAATTTTGTTGAGAATTTTTGCATCTATATCCATGAGAGATACTGCTCTGTAATTTTCTTTTTTTATGGTCTTTGCCTGGTTTTGGTATCAGGGTTATGCTTGCTTCACAGACTGAATTTGGAAGTATCCCTTCCATTTCTATGTTCTGAAATAGTCTGAGCAGTACTGGTCTAAGCTCTTCTCTGAATGTTCTGTAGAATTCTAGAGTGAAACCATCTGGGCCAGGGCTTTTTTTTTTTAATTTTACTTTAGATGAAGGTTTACAGAACAAACTACCTTCTCATTAAACAGTTAGTACACATATTGTTCTATGACATTGG